GTCACAGGGACAGAACAGCCATCTACACTGAAGGGTTACACCACATGCTAGGCCACACAGACGTCACATGAGAGCAGGGTGACAGGAGCCCCTGGGCTATCCAACCTCAGACTCTTGTACAAGAGAAAATTAAAACTCACACTTGGGGGGGATGGTGGGGGGGTGCAGGAGGAGGGGAGGGAGAGGTAACTGGGATTGACATGTGAAGCAAGCCATTTAAAATTAAAGTAATAAAAAAAAAAACCTCACACTTGCTTAATGCACTGGTTCTTCTGTGTGTGGCTGCCTGGACATGTTGTACAATTTGCAAAAGCCTTTAACCAAGGTGTTTGGTTGGACAGGTGCCATCAACTAGGAATTCATCTCCTGTATACACAACTTCCTGACACAGAGGCCACATAGAATAAAATACATATACACTGACTGGTTCTCTGCCACCAACACACAACATTCATACATGATATCATGAGAATGCTGTGGGCCTACTCCTAAGTGTGCTTTAGTCTCGGTGTAACTATGTGTTGCTCTGGGAAGGAAACTTGGAGAAAATTGAATGAAACAGTATCTAACCACTTGGGTCAAATCCTGCACACCAACCGGCCTGGTGACACCTGTAAAGGTATTTAGCTTCTCTGCACCTCAGTTCCTGCCTCAATGGTAGTTGTACATATTACAATGACTTGATGCGTGTACAATACCTATCCCTGTGCCTGAGACTGTTAATATTTACCAGGCATCTATCCATATCATGGTGAAACCGGCAATGGTGTAGCCAAAGTTAATAATAAAAGCCAGATGGGTGTGTTTATTCAGCACACTGCATTCTTTCTTAGCATGAATCTGTAATATTGGCATAGGCCCAAGCTGTAGATGTGACGGAGTTAGATAGTGGTCTTTCACAGTGCTCGTAACTGCCACACTCATGGTCACACACCATCAGCGGTGGCAACATCAGCATGACAAGCTACTTGTCATGGAGATGTATTTACAGAGAGACGAGCAAAGACAGCTAAAAATAGCCCCTAAGCAAACAAGTGGCATATGTCAATTGTTTATTAAAAAGTCACAACCTGTGAGACGTTACAGCAAGAAATCTTCACTTAACATGCCATGCAATCTGCAAGAGCATGGCCCCTTGCCAGTCAAGAGTTAGGCAAGTATTTCACCTTTTTTTTTAAGATTCTAACACAGGAAATATCTGGGTCTTTCTACGAGGTCAAAGGGCACAGAATTTGTAGGATGCTGCCAAGCACCAGCGCAGGTACTTACCCTGACAAGCAAGCATCAAGGGTCATGCACAGCTGCTCATTTCAGGGCAGCACGACTTTTTTCTAGATGAAAGCAACCTCAACCAAGCTATAAGGCCAAAGAGTCCCCAAAACATCCTTTAACCTTTCTTCCTTTTAAATCAATAATAATAATAATAGGATGCAATCTAACATTTTTCTCCCCATCCTAAGAGAGGATGAAGGAAAAAGAGAAGGGGAGGGGGTCCATCTATCTATATTGAGCGTGTGAATGTCTTACTTCACCACCCTCCTGTTGCCTGTCACCATTTTTCTGGTTGTACATTATCAAGAAGGCTGGCACGGGCACAGGAAAGCCAGAGTCACACCCTAGAACAGTACCATACCACAGAGATAGACAGAACGTGAGCCACAGGCATTAGCCATGTCACCGCAAAGCCTTAACTAAGAAAACTGAAAAGGGAGCGGTTGGCATTCACTCTAGTAGAAAATTTTATGCAAAACACCATCACGTCAATACGTAATAAATATGAAAGTTGTTAACATTTCTATTCCTTCCTCACGCTAAGTCTTCAAACACGGGCGTGTTGCATACGTAGCGTACACCAATTGAGATCAGCAGGTCGAGCCTTCCTCTCCATCTCTGCCAGCTAACTGGGCCGCCTGGTACTGTCTGCAGTACCAATTACACTTCATGTGAAGGGAACGGGCTTAAAATAACTTTTGAGCCTACTGCTGCTAGCATTGTGGTTTTACTGCTCACCCTGGCAGAGCCACCAAGTCCTGGAAATCCTGGCCACTAGGAGAACTACTTCCTAAGAAAGTATGCTGTAGCCTCCTCCAGAGACGATAGGACGATCAGACACACACCGGACACTTTCACTATCGGGACATCCCCTTCCAGTGACCTACATGAGACACTGGCTTGAGACACGACAGGAGTTCGCACTGTGGCACAGCCATGGGCAGGGAGAGCATTTTGAAAGATGACCTGAGCATATCAGCATCGCCTACTTCTCGTGTGTCCTGGGATGGGCAAAACGCAAAGACAGAGAGCACCTGGTCAAGTGTGGAGCACTCCCAGACTCCAGTGACTACTCCTGAGAAAGGGTGCCACGCCTCACCTGGAAGACCAAATAGGAGGAGGGGAAGGAAAGTAACTTGAAACGAATGTTGAAGTGAGGGGGCTGGGACCCCCTGAGAACCCACTGGTTGACCTCAGTGGTCTCTGTTCTGTTGGAAGACGACAAAGAGCGTTGAGCCCCCTCTCTGGCAACTGCCCCCTAGTAATCACGAGAAACGAGAAAGTAACAGAGACCCTCACTCCTGCCTGCGGCACTGCCCAGCACCCTCTCGGTCTCCTCTGCCCGAGCACGGTACAGAAAGAACTGTAGTTCCAGACACTGTGTGTGCTCTCTCTCTCTCTCTCTCTCGGGGCTTAACTGGCCTCAAAATGCTGCGCCGCCGGGGGTCTTGACGCCTCCAGAGCCGAGTCCCTGCCTCTGCGGGAGTCCTGGCACTGAGATTCTCTCGGGCACGAATGCCAACGCTCTCCCTCTCCAACCCAGTGCTCGCCCTCTCCAACCCAAACAGACAGGCTGGACGGGCCGCAGGAGTCTCCTTAGTCTACCTGCCCAACCGCCCGCCCGGTCACGCCCGCGGACTGCTCCGGGCCCGCAGCCTTTACTAGATCCAAGCGGCAATCACCCACACAAAGACGCCTTGTGTCTGCGCTTGGCGACAGGCAGCAAGTCACGGGCACGGTACCCGAGCAGAGTGCCCTGGCGCCAAACCCCCTAGTCCCGCATGTCCAGCCCATCTCTCACGGAAAGGCCACACCACAGTTCCCTGGCTTAAATATGGGTGTCCCGCCCGCGGCACACAACGCACACACACCCCCCACCGAAAGGAACCGCTCGGAGCAGGCGCACCAGATAGGGGCGCACAGGCCGCCCGACAGAAGTTTGCTTTGTCGCCCGCAGGAGGGGGCCAAACATCCCGGGTGCCCAACTCCCGGCCCGCCCCCATGTCCCGGGCTGCGGGGGGTTGGGGGTCCTCCACTGCCCGCTCACCTCTAGTCCACTCCACCACTTGTTTGGGGCTCCATTTGGTCACGGGCTCCATGGTAAGCAAGCGGCTTCACTGTCTGGGCTGGGACGTCAGCGGCGGAGTGCTGCAGCCTGTGCCCGCGGTTGTCCCCTGCGCGCCCTGGGCGTCCGCTCAAGCCTGCATGGCCGCGGTCAGCGGGCCATCCCGTTGTGACTCGGCCAGGGGGAGCGCGGTCCTGGGCCCCAGCGCACGGGGCAGCTGTGTCCGGTGTCGGCTTGCTCCTCCAGCTACCACCGTCCAGCTGCAGTCCCCGCACGCCGCTCAGGGATACAGCACCGCACGGCTGCGACCTCAGACTCCAGGCCGGGGGGACTGTCCGGGCAGGAGGACTCTTTCCTGGCCGGGAACTAGGAGCTCGGCTGGCCCTCCGCGGCTCCTGTGAGCGGCGTCCGTCCCCCCGCAGAGGTCCCCACTCCTCGTGCGCCGGCGCCTGGAGCCTTCCCGCCAGCCGGTCCCACCTCCTGCGCCACCGTCGCAGGCCGCCCGGGCGGGGAAGAACGCGGAGCGTGCGCGCTCGAGTTGCAAAGTTTCAGCTCAGCGCCGAGCTCCGGGAATAAAAGAGGGGGCGGGGCCGAGCGGGGGCAACACGTGGGAGGGGGCGGGGCCGAGCGGGAGCAACACGTGGGAGGGGGCGGGGCCGCGACCTCCCGGACTCTGGATACTTTCTCCTCGGTATCCCCGGCTCGCACTCCCTATAGGGCTCCACTTTTCCTTTATAGAAGGCGGGGTGACGCCGCTGCCTGAGTCCTGGGGAGCAGGTCAGCTCCTGAGAGGTCCCAGCTTAGTAACAGTCCGAATCCTTGTGGACAGTTTTTGGTTTGTTTGGTTTTGTTTGTCTAAGTAAAACCTGTCTGTTGTCGTTTTAAAAGCTTCGAATCAAGACCTTGGTGAGCCATTGGGCCGTGTTCATTTTCCGTTTCCTAAGCTAGAGCAGTTTTGGACAAGAAGACCACGGCTCTCGAGGCTGCTGCAGTGTATCGACTCTTCGGTTTATTAGCAGCAGAATGGCAGTTCTTCGAGTTATGTTTTGCCATAATGTACTATTCATATTTTCAAAATGACCTAACTCTCAATTCGGATTAGTCATTAACCCTGAGGCGAAATTTGTCAGCAAGCCAAAAAGAAAAAAAGAAAAATGCCCAAGTTTCCGCCTCTGACAAGGGGAGGAGAGCCCTTTCCACACTGCAAGCCTCAATTTGGAAGCTGAGCCTGGGTCTGGGGAAAACCCTATAACCGGTGTTTACCTCCCTCCAGCCCTCCCTGCCCTACCTCCCACACACACGCAGACACTCTTTTGGCCCCTAGTGAGTCTTCTTTCAATTATAGTTATTGATTTCCATCTTCCCCTTGGCGACTATTAACCCTATCCAGGGCAGAGCTGCTTGGTATTGGGTAGACTGAGCTGGATCTGTTCTCCCACTTCCGACTACCTAGCTCCCCTGCCTTAAGGGAACGGTTGGGTGTTTGTTCATTTAGTAAGCACTGCAGATGCAACCTCTGTCCCAGCCACTGCGTTCATTCAATATTTGTCGTGTGGGATAGGTGCCGTTTAGTACATGTGACAGTCATAGCTAGCACCCAGCTCTTTTCTCTCCTCTCTCTCTCTCTCTCTCTCTCTCTCTCTCTCTCTCTCTCTCTCTCTCTCTCTCTCTCTCTCTCTCTCTCATAGAGAGTGCTGGGTGTGTAGTGTGTAAACTGCCTTAGCCCTCCTATGTAATTCATCAATAAAACAGAGGTGCAACTATCAAAAAAAGTCTTTTTTAAACCAAAAGTAATTAGCCAACCCAGAAACTTGGCAAAAGGGCCATGAGAAGACTCCCGGTAGAATCGTTGCCCTCTTTTTAGAAATGACCTTTGACCTGTCTCCATAATCATCTTTATGGACACAAGAGAGAACCATCTTGACCTTTGCTCAGAGGGAACTGTTAAGACAGTTTCGGTAATCACCATACAATCAGGGCGACCAAATAAGTAATTCATCTCCAAAACAGTGCTGCTGCTGCTGCCGCCTGTGGAAGGCGGTGCAGCAATAACTAGGTTGACATTGTGAATCAGAGTGTAGAACCAATGGAATCACAAAGAGAATCAAGTGCTGATGATTTTGCTGTAGAATTTCACTTGGTGTTCTCCAGTGCCCTTGCATTCGTGGGAGCATTAGAACCTGGAATCCCAGAGTCCAGTTTGCAGAACTTCGTCCCACGGTCAACACAATCAGCACGATCTACACTCGGCGCAAACATAAACAGAATATGCAAAGAAGAAAGCCGTGTTAAAAATCCAACCTGGAAGACCAATTAACTATCTAAATGAATTAGCGATCCATTTACCCTACCAGTCCTGCAGGCTAATTACTATGTAAATAAGGCCTTCTACCTTAATTACAGCTGTTAGCATGTGAAAGTTTTAAGGTGTGCTGACTGCCTGCAGAAATGCAGACTTTACACAGAAAGTTTGGCATATCAAAGACTTGGAATTTCAGATAAGCAGCTACGGAAATTGATGTGTATACAAAAAACAAAACAAAACCCACAATCTTTTACACAGTTGCCAGCTCTCTTCCCTTGTCCCTGTGGCCTTGTTGCTTCGTGCCCGTCCCCTCCTCCCTCCTTCCCACCTTGATACTCTCCAGGGCTCCTCCCACATGACTAGGATCCGAACAAACCTTTCGATTGAACTTGATGCCTTACCATTCTGGTCCTAGGACCCATCCTCCTGTATTTCTCTCTCCTCTCCTTTTCTTTGTGATCCTCCTTGCATATTCAGGTCAGTTATCTAGTCAACGAAGTATGTTGTGAATGCTTGTAACACGCTGAAGTGAGTGCGAAGGAGATTTTAAACCACACAGCTAGCTGCTCTTGGAGATCTTGGTACTTTCCCAGGGAGGGTTTTCTTCAGTTGCCTATAATCAGGAGACACGGCCCAGGGAGCAGGGGGTGGGGGGGGGGGGCTTGACAAGGGAGCTTGGGAATCAATTTCACATAACAATTTGAGTCTCTTCAAAATGCGCTGTTATCTTTATTTGAGAAGTAGAAACTATGCACTCTGGAGGCAAGGCTAGTCCTATAACTACTGGATAAACACAAAACACGGGAGTAAAAGGCCCTGAACCCTTCCCCAGTGCAAAACACTTCCATAACAAAAGAAACATGAAGGTATTCCAGTGGCAGCCCCTCCAGTTTCCTCCCAGCTGAGGTTCCCTCCCTGTGTGGTGGCTCTATCATGATGTTCCTTTTCCATACTACTCTCAGGACATTTAAGATAATTTAATTTCCTCCGGCATATAAATCGTCTCCTGGTGTCTATCTCTTATCTTGAAAAACAGCAGATGATTCTGCAAATTCCCACCTGCAAAACATCCTCCATGGGGGGTGGGGGTTCCTTATCTATGACATCACCTGGCTGCAATGTCACCAGTTAACTCAATTACCCCTACTGCTGCTGATGAGCAGGTCTCCCACTCAGTTCCAGTGGGTCTAGAAGCTTCACACCATGGTAATGAAATTACCTCCCTAAGTACACAGGCGTCCCATCAGATAATCCAGGAGGTGAGGTTCTCAAACTTTTTTTTTTCCACTGAAATGAATGCAGCCTCGCTCGCCTGAAGTCTTTTGATGGTTATGGAACCCAAGTGATGTCAACCTGCAGATAGCAGGAGCGCTGATGCTCGGTTTCCTCTTACTGTCCATGTCCCACAGACCGATGTCCAGTGGATAAAGCCTCAAAACCCGGGTGTCGTTAACTGGTTCTTGTTATTGTTGTATTTGTACTGGGGGTTGAGCCTCCTGTTGTTTACTGATTCTTTTTATTATTTTATTTTTACTTATTCATTTTGTCGCACTGCTGAACCTGAGACCTCATACATGCTATCGAATACCTCACCATTGATCTGTATCTCCAACCTTTTTTATTTTTAGTCTGGGTCTGAGATCAGGTTGCCCAGGTTGGTTGGTTTGTAGCACACTTGAGCAGTGAACTTCTGATCCTTGACCTCAGGGTCCAAACTAGCAGGTATTACCAGTGTAGACCTCCAGGCTTCCTTTCACTGATTTCTTTCCCAGGGCTTGGAAAGGAACCTGGGGCCTTGCATATACATGGCAGGCAAGTGTCCCTCCCCTGCCTACAGTATTTAACCCATATTTTGGGGTTTTCAATCTTCCTAATACTGTGACCTTTTAAAACGACTCCTCGTGTTGTACTGACCCCCAACCATAAAATTATTTCCTTGCTACTTCCTAACTGTAATGTTGCTACTATTTTGAGACACAATGTGAATATCTGATACGCAGGATATCTGATCTATGACCTCCAAAGGAGTCAGGCCCCACAGGCTGAGAACCACTGACCTAGAGGCATATTTTGGGAGAGTTGCTACATGAAGCAATACTCACAAATAGTTAAGCCTCTTACCCTTGAATGCTAGAGCCACTAACAGGGAGTGCATTGCATAGACAAGGGACAGTCGGTCCCAAGTCCCTCACCCCTGGGATGCACCGTACTTTCTGTCACAGCTATTAGGTTGCAGAGTGTCTAAAAAGAAGGGAACATCATCCCCCGCCAGTTGTTCCTACAGCTCCGTATGACTTCGTGGGACTCGGAGTCTCGGGACAAGGAAATATGACCCCATCAGTTTCAGACTGGATGATCCTTGTTTCCAACACAAGTTCTATGTCGATAGCGACGTCAAAGGCACAGGGGGAGAAAGCATGGGGACCATCCTAAGTCTTTCGGGAAAATCAAATTATTCCAAGCAAATCTTGAGCCATTAGAAATAAAAAGCTGGTTTGGAGGTCGTAATACTCTAGGATGGACAGGACAGGTAAATTAATTGCTTCTGCACTGCTTCATACTTTTCTTATTTGAATTGGCTTAACGGAAATATTTTCTAAGACTATTTCAAGTCATATAGAAGCCTAGCCTGGTAGCACACGCCTTTGATCCCAGCACTTGGGAAGCAGAGGTAGGCTGATGTCTGTGAGTTTCAGGCCAGCTTGGTCTACATAGAGAGACCACATCTTGAAAAACAAGCAAACAAAAATCAAACCAAATAGAAATATATGTATTCAAATACTCAGACCTATAATGAAACTTTTTTTATGAACAGTGAGTTCATTCTAAGAGTTAATTCATTCTTCCATTACTAGCAAAAAGCCATTTAAAGGAGGGTAATGTCTGCCAGTCTCAACTTATTTAAATGCTGCAATCCAGTCACTTGTAACAACGCATATAGATTCATGCTTCTCCCTTGTGTTTTGTTTTGGTTTTGGTTTTTTTGAGACAGAGTTTCTCGGAGTAAAAACCCTGGCTGTCCTGGAACTGGCTCTGTAGACCAGGCTGGCCTCGAACTCAAGAGATCCACCTGCCTCTGCCTCCGAGTGCTGGGATCCTGCACCACCACTGGCCTGCATGCTTCTCCATTTTGATCCTTAGACACATGAACAACAGCAGGACAATGTTCCTTAACTTTCCCAGTTAACCCGGCACATCAGGAAACATGGTAAGCATTTCGGGTGAGGGAGAGGTAGAAATAAAAAGTACATATTAGAAACACGGCATGTGTCAGTATACTTCACAGGGAAAGGATGAAGGTAAGCACTAATCTGTGTGTTCCTGCAGGAGTCACGTGAATCTACAGGCATCTGAGATTGTCTCCTTGAGAGCCAGGCGTTGGTGGTGCTTGCCTTTAATCCCAGCACTCGGGAAGCAGAGGCAGGTGGATCTCTGTGAGTTCGAGGCCAGCCTGGTCTACAAAGTGAGTTCCAGGACAGCCTCCAAAGCTACAGAGAAACCCTGTCTCGGAAAAAAAAAAAAAAAAAGGTTTCCTTGAACAGGAGGTCTTGCATTTACTCCTGCAAGTCAGCAAAAATGAACTCCATAACCAGCTCACAAACAATGCTAACAGTCACGGCTGTAATAGTCATTCTAGAAAATGGACCCCAGGATCCACTCTTTTTCAGGTTCCATGTAAATTCTGCTTCTAGTGGCTGAGGTGTAGAGAGAGGTTCAAGTATTCCTGGTCCATTTTCTTCCCCTTTTCCAGGACTTAGTAAGAGGCAGGCAGATCTTTGTGACTTCAAGGCCAACCTCGTCTGCCATAGTGAGTTGTAGGGTGGCCAGAGACATGCAGAGACCCTGTCCCAAAAGAAAATACTTTCGCCTTAAATTTCTTAGTTCTAGCAGTGAGAAAGCAGTTGCTGAGGGCAGCTGAGGGAGACAAATTTTTCAAACAAAAGCCTGCAGTAATTTCTTTCTATTGTTGTACATCTACATGGCTTAACAGGGTCATATAAACTCACTGGCTAAGTCAGTTTGGGATGCATTGGCTTTAAAACTGAAATGCTACAGTGCTAAGTAAAGACATGTGCGTGCGTGCATGTGTGTGTGTGTGTGTGTGTGTGTGTGTGTGTGTGTGTGTGGTGGGTTCATGTGCACACGTGTGCATGCTAATGGAGATCAGAGGACAACATCTGGTGTCATTCTTCCTGTGTGTATGTGTTTGTTTGTCATAAGTATTCTTATACTACTCAGAGCGAATCTAGGTTGCACTCCCACATAGCTGTCACAGACTGAAGTTTATCTGATTGTCATTAACACACTTTTCTCATTTCTTTGGATGTCATTGGCCCCCATAATCTCATGGGGAGTGGCACTATTGGCAGATGTGGCTTTGTTGGAGTGGGTATGACCTTGTTGGAGGAAGTGTGTCATTGTGGGGCAGGCTTTAATGCTTCCTATGCTCAGGCTACTGCCCAGTGTCTCAGGCAGCCTCTGTTGCCTGCAAGATGTAGGACTTCCAGCTGCTTCTCCGGCACCATGTCTACATGCATGTATCCATGCTTCCCGCCATGATGGTGGTGGACTGAACCTCTGAAACTGTAAGCCAGCCACCCCAGTTGAATGTCTTCACGTATAAGAGTTGCCATGGCCATGGTATCTCTTCACAGCAATGGAAACCTAGTTGGGACATTTCTGTACCACTGTGTTCGTGTTCTACAGTTATTTTTTTTTTTTTTGCAAAATGGGAATAAAATTCAAAGAATGGTGTTATCTAATTAATACACTATGAAACTTAAAAAGCATTCCCTTCAGAAAAAAGAGGTCCTGACATCATTGGCCAGTGCCCATTATCTTTAAAAGTCCAAAGGTGAAGTCCTGGTCAATCCCTAACCAAGCTGCCCTGCTTTTCCAGGGTCTCTAATGCCTTCCATGGAAGACTGCCCAACGGGGAATCATGGAGACAAACTGAACTTGATTAACTCCAAAGTTACCACTTTATTAAGAGATAAGCCTGTAACTGTCAACACATATGGGTCCACAGGGTCAAGGTCTCTCTACTCTTCCATTCTAGCACACAAGTGTCTCTGCCAAGCAGCTTGACAATATGCCTTTGCCCTCATCCCTTCATCTTACTTTATCCTCTGAGGAAGTATGCATTCTCTCATACTTGCTTTCGGAGCTAAAATGGAGCTGACCATAATTTAACAGCATTTATGTGCCAACAATCCTAAGCAGATTTTTTTTGGGGTGTGTGTGTGTGTGTGTGTGTGTGTGTGTGTGTGTGTGTGTGTAGCTATTTCCCCTTAATTGAAACATTCCCCCATGAAAGGCAAAGAAGAATGGAGAGGACTCCGGAAGCAGAGAAAGCCCGTGGGGCCCAAGAGGCTCATTAAACTTGGAAAGGAAGCTCAGAAAGAGAAAATGTTCGCAAGCCCCCTCCCCAACATTAAGCAGGCAGTAAATGATTGCTGGTGGAGAGGAGACTGTGGTTGAACTGCTTTCAAGTTAGGGAGGGATATGGCTTTTATAAGCTGTCGTTCACGCTGGGGTGGACCTTTCAATGACACAGCTAGCTGCCTTTGAGTCACCATGCTCCTATAAGTGACCTCAATAACCTCACCGGCC